AATCGACCCAACCTGTCTTCAACATTGGTTCCCTCAAGCTATACAAAGAATCCGCACGTCTATCGCGTTCGAATGGGTTTATTCTCGCGGATGGCACCGTAAACCAGCTGGTTTGGTGGCTGCTGGGCACACGCACGCGCAAACGGCCGAGCAAATTCATTGTATAGTGGGTGGGTGAGGGGAAGTCAGCATGGTAACAATCGATAATATTGGGCGAGTACTGGACTTGTTCTCAAGTTTTGAAGAGCACTGTCGGACCAAGCGACGGCGAAGAAGTCGAAATAAAAAAAGTGAGCTCAAGACTAAAACGATCTCGTTAATTGCGGCGGAGTTGGTCTTTTGCCTGCTTTCTTCTTTTCCGGCTTCCGTGGACGCTTGGGATGAGGAAAATCAAACCGGTACAGAACGTACATCTTCGTGAGCCATCGCAGCATGGCCATCGGCTCTATGGCAACCGGTGAATCCGCATCTTCACGATAATCAGTGTAGGTAGTGACTCGATCACTTGAGTCCCGAAGGACCAGAGTGAAACAGTGTTCGATGATGTCTTCAGCCACGTGTACGATATAATATCTTGAAGGAAGACTTCGAACGGCTTTCTCTACGATGGCTGCCGACAACTTGGACTTGTCCTGGTACACCTTGAACAACTCGATGTAATCAAGAGATACATCCTCGGCACAGATGAAGTTAAGTTGCAAGTCGATATCACTAACCAGGACGCCATCCGGAAAATCTTACCTTGCTGGCGGTAGAAGCGCTCCCAGTGAGCACGATTAACTAAGCTGAGGCGACAAGGCCGACGCAAGACGCTTGAAAAACATACAAGAAGCAAAGATTTTCCTCCCACTCTCTGGAACCGTGGAAATAACTGCTGTAGCACGAATTGAAGGAGCAGTTCTTGCCGCTTGCTTTTCACTTGGTGACTCGGTCCATGCACCAATACACGTGCTTGAGGCTCTCTGGCCATTCCCAGCTCAACTAGCATGGGCAGCGGTTCCACTCGACGAGATACGCGACGTGTGTGGATATCTCTGGCGGTCGATCAGTTTCTACACAGCAACTACGGCCTCCGAATCGACAGGCGCTTCAGTATTGAACCGGTTCCACCAGCAGGATGATGAATGGTGTTCAGGAGGGGATAACAACGGAGGACGCTCGGTGATCGTCAACGAAGCTCGAATCACGTTGATGGCGGCA